AGCGGCGGTGTTCGGCCCTGGAGGGCTCCAGGCGGGGAAAGTGCTGTAGGGAGAGGCGGTGTTCTGCACTGGAGGGCTCCAGGCGGGGAAAGTGTTGTAGTTTACCCTACACTGTCTAAGGGCTGGTTCAGTCTGCAGAGTCACCAGACCTGTCTCTTTTTTCCTGATAACTGCTTTTTATTGTTGTAGCCATTTACCAGCATTTTCTTCAGAGAGCTGCAACTTAAATGTATTGTCTGATGACTCAAAATTCCAGAAAATCAAAGGGACTTGGGAGACAGTCCACTCTAGGGATTGTCAGGAGCTTCTCAGAGTCCTGGGAGCTTCTCAGAGTCCTAGAAGCTTTGCAGAGCCACCAAAGAGGTGGTTGGGAAAAGTGGGAGCAGGGCTACTCAGCTGTTCGCTATGTAAGACTTGTGGTTCTGTGTTGGGAGAAAGTCTAAATCCAGTCCCTTCACCCAACGCCTGCTAGAGAAGGTGCATGCAACACAGTTCTCTGACAACACGCGCCCTCTCAGAGGCTGTGTTTGTCTGCGGGTTGGTTCCTTGCTCAGCATGTGTAAACAGGAAGGCTGTGAGGGAGGACCACTGTATTCCAGTTGAGCACCCCGAGAACAGCTGTTGTGCTGTGGCTTACAGCAGTACTCTACACAGACACAAGGAGAGCTGCACACCGTCTGAGCTTGGATAGCATCGGGTGGAGCTACCAGGTACTAAAGAAGAGAAAGGCTTACTGAGTCTATCCTCTTAGCTTAATGACAGAGCTACTATGAAAATCCACAAGGAGCTTCCTGCTCCCAAACCCCTTCTGCTCCTACACATCTTCTACACTTGTTGCCCCAGCCACAACCACATTGCTTGTCTTGGGTCTACACACTGAAGGCATGTGAAGGTGGGCATGGCCTTAATTCAGATCAACTCATGAACGAAACAAACAGAAGAGCAGATTCACTCCTGAACTGACTGACTGAATGCTAGGAACGAGGGGTGACACAGTCTGAGACTGTCCCTCCAGTGCGCCTCACTGATAACAAGGGGTAACACAGCCCGAGACTGTCCCTCCAGTGCGCCTCACTGATAACGAGGGGTGACACGGCCCGAGACTGTCCCTCCAGTGCGCCTCACTGATAACGAGGGGTGACACGGCCTGAGACTGTCCCTCCAGTGCGCCTCACTGATAACAGTCGGAAAGGCCACGCCGTCTGCCTGATACCTTGTGCAGGTCTGACAGCTGCTGGTGTTTGAGCAGAACTTCTTTGTTGGGAAACTGTCTTCTGCAGAGCAGACAAGCCAGTTTATTCCAGTCAGTGAGTTTGTCTTCTTCATTCTCCTTCTTGGCCAGCTCCTCCTGCTGCTGGGGCTGTGCTGTGCGGGGCTGTGGGGGAGGGGTCTGTTCCTCCTCCTCCTCCTCCTCATAGTCACTGTCTCCTCCGTACTCACCCAGGAGGCCAATCAGTGGGTTAACCACCTTAGGCTGGAAGAAGAAGGCTCACAATCAACACCAAATTTAACTAAATTATTTTGGGGGCTCTTTTTTTTTATATATTCTGATATGTAACTCATTTCCTTGCCCCCTTTTAGTTGGAATAAGGACTGGAGTTTGGAATAGGCCCACTGACCACAGTGCTCATTTCCTAGGAGAAACCGGACAGGTTCCTTGCAAGTGACTAGCAGCAGAATGATGAGAAGGGAGAAAAAGGAGAACTGGCATGGGAAACAGCAGATCAGAGTCACGAAGAGGAAGTGCTGAACTACTCCAGCCCGGTCACGACCGCGCAGCCCAGAGTCAGGAGGCGGGCAAGAGCAGACACGGACAAGCACTCAGGGAGACGGTGCCAGTGCCTGAGTGAGGCCAAGGCCAATGCACTGGGAGGGCAGGTGCTGCCATGAGCTGAACTGACAATGGGAGGCGGACGAGGGCACCTCACAGAACTGTGCGGCCACTGCGTGAGCCACCAGATCGGAAAACAGAGAGCACGGCACCACTGTTACATATCTGTATTCAATTGCAATCTTTATGATTACACTGAGACTCTCACTTCAAGGCATATAAAAAATGGGTAACAATATTAGCATCGTTCTCTCTGGCCAAGTGAGCAAAGATAAAAACGAGCACACAAACACTCTACATTTAAGAGATTCTTACTATGCAGCACCAAAGACAGGAAACACTGAGCCAGGAAAAGGGGTTTCTTTAGTGATTTAAAGAACGACCAGAGCAGTTGCGGGGGGCTGAGGCATGGGTCAAATGACTTTGAGACGAGCTCTGAGGCAACCGAGCAAGATCTCATCTCTTTGGAAAATCCCAGCCAGGGAGCTCTGGTGGGAGCGTGGCAGGGAAGAGGACAGACTCCGCAGGAATACTCCTACTAGCAGACGGAAAGGCATCGCCTCATGCTTCTCACAACCACGGTCCTTATTCCTTATTTGTGAGCCGTAGACAACTCGCGGATCAAAGCCAGGGTAGCATCAGCCTGGGAGCTTCCTTGCCCACCAGGAACCAGCCCCCGCCCCTGCTCCCACCCCAGCCCCTGCCTGAGTGCCAGAGGTTGCCTTACTGGTGGGGGACTCTCTTCCTTCTTCACAGTGGGAGGCAAGGGCTTCTTAAACACGTCCTCTGGGGGAGCCTTCTCCTCGCTGGCATTTTCCTGAAACTGATCAAACCCAGAGGTAATTCTTTTTTTTTTGGGGCGGGGAGAGGTTTTTGCCATAGGGCAGTGCACTCGCCAGACAGACAGAGAGAGACAGAAAGTGAGAAATCACCCCCCAGGGGGATGGCCACGCCACAATCCCTTCTCCATTCTCCTCTCGGGATCTTGGGCACGCGCACACACACGCACCCGGCGTGAGCCCCGGCGGGGGTTTCAAGCCACCGGGCCGGGGACGCAAACCGTGGTCGACTATGTGGGAGTCCAGCGACATAGCCATTACGTTAACTGCTGGTCCCCAGAGGTAATTCTTACACAGTATCATGAAAGCTGGGTTAAAATGTGTACACAGCACCAAGTTCAGTCACTTCGTTCTCCGTTCATAGGTTTCCTGTTTGTAAACGGGAGTGTTATCATCCAGCTAAGAGGCAAAGGAACACTGGATAAGGGAGAATTTTTTTTTTTTTTTATGTTTTTGCTATAGGGTGGGTGCGTTTGCAGGAGAGACAGAGACTGAAAGTGAGAAATCACCCACTGGGTCGGGGGATAGCCATGCTGCAATCTTTTCTCCTCCATTCTCCTCTCGGGACCTTGGGTATGCATACACATGTATCTGGCATGACTTTAAAGTCACCGGGTCTAGGACTTGACCTGCGGTTGACTATGTGGGAGTCCAGCAACATAACCGTTACCCCATCTGCTGGCCCAGAGAGTACTTTTTTTTAAAAAGAATTATTTTTATTATTTAACTCTACTTATTTTTAACTTATTTTAATTTGACCAGAGAGGGACAGAGTGAGAGATAGAGAGAGTGAGCAAAAGTGAGAAAGGAAGCTGTTAGGTCCAGGACTCAAACCATGGTCAGCCACATGGGAGTCCAGCATTCTTAACTACCACGCCACTTGGTGGCCCCCACAGAGTGGTTTGTAAGTAACTTTTTTTTTTTTTTAATAGAGGTTTTTGCCTTAGGGCCATGCGCTCACTGGAGAGAGAGAGAGACAGACGACAGGCAGACAGAGACAGAGACAGAGAAAGTGAGAGGTCAACCCCCGGGGGTTGACACTACAATCCCTTCTCTTCCATTCTCCTAGGATCATGGACACATCTGTACACACACCCTGTATGAATTTCAAACCACCAGGTCTGGGACTCAAAAACCATGGTTGGCCATGTGGGAGTCCAGTGACATAACTGCCATCTGCTGACGCCAGGGGAGTACTTTTGAAGTAACTTGACATCGCAAACCTGGATTGTCTCTGTCCACAACTCCTACACGTGGGTCTGTAGTTATGTGATAAAGACAGCTCGTACATCGGTCCTCTTACCCTTGTCACTCCTCGGTCTCTTTTCTCCTTCCCATCTCTTTTAGATGTTTCCTTCTTGCTACTTGACTTTCCTTGACTGGTAGGTTTCTTTTCCTTGATCTCTTCTTCCTCAGGTGACCCCATATCCTGAGGCACGAAGACTTCTTGCTGCGATACAGTGGGAAACAGCTAAGTCTACAGAATGTCTCACTTTATCAGCAATTCCAGGTCTCCCTTCTAGGGGAAAAAAACAGCTCTCCCACTCACAAGCAAGAGTTTGTATCAATCTAAAAACCCCTTCCAGAGGCCAGGACACATCCAGACCACCCACTGTCCACTTTTGCAAGAGCAGCGCTGTTCTTCCCTGTAATGCCATAAGGCATTGATTTTCCATTTAGGCAACAGTTCAGTTTCCATAGATTTAACCTTTTCCACTTGTCCTGTAACAAGCATCCAGAATATCCAGGGAATAAAATCCTCAAAGTAACAAATTATGGGTGCTTTTCTCAAAAGGGTCATTGATAGAGTAAACTCAGCCAAAAGCTCACCTGGGTATTGGGGTCATAATAGGTTCCTGCCAGGGGATCGTAATAGTAGCCAGTAGCGGAATCATATATATAGCAGTCAGATGATGCTAGAGGGAATAAAACCAAAGCCATCGCTAGTATCCATCCACCAAAGCCTTTACCCAGGCCTTGCCACCAACAACCCAAGAATTAGAGTGGTCAATCCAAACAGATGAGGGAACTATCGATGGTACGCTCTCTGGATAAGCGCCCCCAGTCAACAGCATTACTTGCTGACTTTGTGACTACATGGACTTCAAATAATAGTAGCAAGGTTAAGTAAAAAGAGAACAGCAGAAATAAAACAAAGGTCACTTACACTGTTGTCCTTGTCGATTTGTATCTGAAGACCAGTCTGAATTTCTTCCACCTCCTCGCCTATCTCGGAAATACTTTTTACCCTACCACAGAAAGGCAAGTTAAAATTATAGAACTATCCAATATCCTTTAACCTTAACAGTCTCCCATGGGGAAAAAAGTCAAGATCACATTTTCAGTCACCTAAGGATTTTAACAAAGCACACTTCATTTACTAAAGCCTACCTGATAGTAATTCACGTGGTCAGAATGGTCCCCGGAATCATGTCTGCAATAAACAACATAGTATGTCATGAGCCTGCTGCCAGTGTCCACTCCTGCAGAGTCACTGTAAAGCTCTCCTCTCCATTTTACAGGGAGAGAGCAACAGGTGGTGTAGTGGTCCAGACACTCCTGTGGGAGGAGCAGTGAAACTCCTACAAAGCCATCTTCTGCAGCAAAATAGCAACTGAGTGGAGGGTGCTAGAGCCACAACTGCCCTGCCTTGGAAAGCTTGTCTCTGAGGCAGCCATTTCCCAGGTGACACTCTTTGGTTAAGATGAGTGAAGGAATAAAGAGTAATTAGATTGCCCAGTATTATGGGGATAGAAACAAGGTCAGGAAAACGGGAAGTCAGGAAAGCACTTTCTTAGGATTCTAAAGAAGCAAGGAGGTATTGAGATTGTTCTGCACATCCAAGAGTGTGTGTAAACATCATTTGGAACACAAAGACACAAGACAATCAAAAGTGAAAGAACTCAATACCACTATTTAAGAAAGAAAATAATTCAGGGCCAGCAGGTGGCGTGGTGGTGAAGGTACCGGACTCCCACATGGCTGACTGTGGTTTGAGTCCTAGACCTGGAGGTTTGCTATCTCACTTTCTCTTTCTCACTGGTGTATGCCTATAGCAAATTAAATAATAATAATAATAAATAAAATTAAAGAAATAATTCTTTAAAAAATTATTTGAAAGGAAGAAAGAAAATATGGGACGAGCAGGTAGTGTGGTGGTTAATGCACTGGACACTTCCACATGGCTGACCATGGTTTAAATCTGGAAGCTTGCTTTCTTACTTTCTCTCTCTCTCTGGTCTAATTAAAATATGTGAATGAATAAATAAAATTAAATTTAAAAAGGAAGAAAGAAAATAATTTGAAAGAAATTCTAGAGTCAGAACGAGACAGACTTAAGAAAATATACTCGTGTCTACCTGAGGCAGTTAAACCGGCAGGAAGGCATCATGCCTTACTCTCTGTCCCTCAGGAAGAAAGAAGAGTTTCTTTCCAAAAGCTCAAGTGGGGACAGCACCAGGAGCCCTGCCCCAGTACCTTCGCTTTCCAGTGGCCAGGTTAACAGCTACCATCTTCCCATCGATGCTAAAGGGTGGATCGAGGTTCTGCAAGATCTTCACGACGCGGAGTGCTTCCTAGGGGACCAAAGACACACTTGCACCCAGAGCGGAAAGGCCGTGCCTTTGAAAGAGCTGAGCACCGATTTTTCCTTCTCCAAAGAGAAATTCAGGAAACATAATGCTCTGGTCATGATGTCAATATGGACAGTAAGAGCACACTGGCAAAAATGTGACTGTTGATGACAGACTGATCAAACCAGTGCTCAGAATGGGTGGCAGTTTCTGGTATCGATTTCAGAAATTCAAATTCTCCTTCTTTTAGGCTGTAATTTTCACCACATTGGATCCAGTTTACAAAGTCCCTTGTGATTTTTGAGCATGGAATCTAAGAATTATCAATAACTTTTATTATCTTCACATTACGTCCATAGGAAAGGATCCCAACAACTAAAAATTCAAGCAATAAGAAGCTCACAAATATTTAGAAAAAAAGAAGAAAATATTTTATTATCATAAACCACCTGCGGTTGGGCAAAACAAATCTAAGAAATTAAAATATTTGCCAAAATCTTGGAGGGTTTAGCACTCAGATTCTTCACAAGTGAGGTAAGTTGGAAAGTCCAAATGCCGCAAGGCAAAAACGACCTGGAAAACCACACAGAATTTTAACTCTCGATGACAGTCACCTGCATGGACATTAAGCCTCAAAGGGAGACCAAGAAGGGCTATGATACCAGATATTAGATAGGAATTCAAATGACAAGGAAGTCCCTTAAATATTCTTGAGCATTTTTCAGCCACCATCCCTAGACTGCTCCCAGGTGGGGCAAACTCACCGCATGGGAGTCGAGGTCAATAAAGCCGTAGGTGTGGCCCATGGGGCCGGTTCTGTTCTTGATGATTCGAACGTTGGCAGTAGTAAGGCGGACATATGGCTCCAGCACTTCCACTATCACCTCGGGTGGAGTGGAACGATAGATGCGTTTGAGCATGATTGCTGAACGAAGCCAGCCCAAACGGGAGAGGAATAAGGAAAGAGAGAGAAAGATGAATTTCTAAAGTCCCAAGGGTCTGACAGTCATTTTATTTATTTGTTTCTAATCATAGATACTACTATAAAGTCAGCTCTATCAAGCCTGGCTCTATAAAGAGATGCTAGATAAGTATTTCATAAATATTGAATTCCCGTGGCCAGCAGGTGGCATGGTGGTTAAGAATGCTGGACACTCCCACATGGCTGACAATGGTTCAAGTCCTGGACCTGGTGGCTTGCTTTCTCACTTTCCCTCTCTTTCTATCTGTGTGTATGTGTGTGTCTCTCTCTGGTCAAATCAAAATGAATGAATAAATAAATAAAGTTAAAGAAAGTAATTCTTTAAAAAACGATTGAATTTCCCTAATCTAAAATGCATTGGACTAATAGTGTTTCATATTTTGGCATATTTACATAGCTTTAACGAAGTAAATCAGGGATGGGACCCAATTCTTACCACAAAATTAATTCATATACACAAAGTTCAATGCTAATTTTGTACAGTCTCTTTCTCTTTTTTTTAAAGACAGGGTCTTGCCATACCGTGATTCTCCCGTCTCAGCCTCCCAGCTCCAGCTACTACAGGGTTGGGGTAGCACATGCAGCTCAGTTTTAGACAAGCCGCAAGCCTGGGATCCTCCTGCCTCAGTCTCCCTGAGCTGCTGGGATCCCAGTGGCACACTCCCAGGCCTGGGCTTTGGGTTGAGCAAGGAACTGGCCCCAGGCCTCCCACGTGATGCTGTGGACCACAGCGACTTGGCCGCATGCATCGCTGCAGCCGGGCAACATTTTGTTTGACTGCAACCCATCACATGAAGTCAGGTGTGAAATTTTCTACTCAGGGTGTCAAAACGTTTCAGCTTTTGGAACGTTCTGAGTTTTCAGATTGGGATGCTCAACTTGTACTGTACTTCACCAATACGTAGACACCTAAAAATCATACCTGACTGTATTTGTATAGCAATTGCTATCCAGAGAACACAGATCCCTTCACCTGTACAGTACGGCCCACAGAGCAACGGCTCTGTCATCAGGCCATGCAGTTCTACTAGGGCACGAGGGAGCAACTGGCTGCAGCCACCACAGGCCGCTCTGCGCTCTGTGATGCTGTCAGTCTGGCGCGTGCCCTGACAAACCACTTACTTTTGCTCTCCCCATCCTGGCGTGTGTCTGCAGACCAGGGCTCCTTTTCTCGGTCTCTTCGGAAACTGGGCCCTTCTCTTCGAGAAGAAGGCTGATACCTTTCTGCTTCTCTCTTTTGATGTCCTAGGCGTGGTTCTTGTCCTTCTTCCCGTTTCCTGGGCTCAGGTTCCTTATCGGTGGGCCTCTGGGGCTGGCTGGGCTGTTTTTCTGACGATGCTAGTATGGATGATTTTTGTGGCTGAGGGTAGCTTACCAATTCTTGCTTGGCCTCTATCATTAGGGGAACAAAGAGAATTCCTAGAAGGCTCTATCACAAAAACGTTACTACTATGATTCTTCCTTACCAGCCTCCATATTACTTACTGGGATGCTTTTAATGTTGTCTCAAAAATGCCTACAAAAATGTCTGACAGACTGAGCAAAGCTAGAGAACCAGCACATGAAATAGCTCAAAGAAGAAATGCTCCAGGCATAAAAACATTTAATTATATGAGCTTTCTATCACTTTTAAATGTAACAAAGCCTCAGGACACCTGGCCCTATGACAACCAATGGGAAGAACAGACTCAGGGACAGAAATCATTACAGATACAGCTGTTGCCGGAGGGTCCGTGGATGTGTCTTGAGCAGCCTTGCTCCTTCCAGTGCTCCAGTACTAACACAGCAGTCAGCTTCTGGAGGACCACAGACCCCATTCTCTGGCGAAACTAGGAATGGCCCTCATGCCATTATAACGGGGAATGTCTTTCAAAATACAAATGATTCATGTAAAATCTCATTCTACAGTAGGATATGCCTCGTTAATTAGGAGTAGATTTGTGAACTTAATTCATTCTTACTGGGTTCACTGGAAGCCATATGGCTCAAAAAGCATGCTATGCTGCTGGACTCAGTACCTAACAGCAGTGCAGGTGACCAGTGAGCATCTACCCACCCTTCCAGTTACAGCTGTCTTGGCACTTCAGAGTATAGTGAGTGCCCTCTGAGCATCTACCCACCCTTCCAGTTACAGCTGTCTTGGCACTTCAGGGTGTAGTGAGTGCCCTCGGGTTTTCATAAACCATCTATTCAGGTTTATGAAGAGCTCGAGAAAGCAGCTTTCTTGAAGGAAAAACCCACAACTTTGCCTAATCTGAAGTAACCCAACCAGCCAAAGATTTCCGTTGTTTACTCCCCTTCCCACATGCTGGTCAGGTCCCTAGAGCACAGAGAGCCCTTCCCCACACTAGAGAGAACACCGGCCGTACGGCCCTCACTGGAGTGGAATCGCCACCACAGGTCAAAGGCTTAGCTAAGAAACTCTTTGTAGGCACACTAACTTCTTTTTTTTTTTAATTTTTTAATTATTTTTAAATTTTATTTATTCATTCATTTATTTTAATTTAACCAGAAAGAGACAGAGACAGACAGAGAGAGAGAGAGAGAGAAAGGAAGCTACCAGGTCTGGGACTTGAACTATGGTTGGCCATGTGGGAGTGTCCAGCACCTTAACCACCACGCCACCTGCTGGCCCCTAGGCACACTAACTTCTAATTGCTCAATGAACAGGTCCTGCAGAATCCCTGCACTAGACTGTACTTTACGGTCACGGCCTGTCTCTCCTTAGGGTACTATCGGATACAGGAATATAACAATCACAGGACTACTGTGACACTTTTTCCCTTTGTCTTTATTTATTTACTTCAAAAGAGACAGAGAAAGAGAACATCCCTAACAGCGTACTGACGCCACGGTCTACCCTGGCTTAACTAGCCCCGGATCACGTGCATGTGCCTATGGTCTCAGGGAGCCCTCTGGATACAAACCCGGAACCTTCCCAGGTGAGTCGGCTTCACAGAGTGGCATGTTTGACCACTGCACCACCTCCAGTCCCCTGCTGTTATGTTCTGAAAAGACTCTTCAAGGCTGTTTACCTGAAGCTTCTCGGAAGAAATTAACTTTGAAGCTGGGTGCTTTAAGAAGCTGGTAGGTTTATTCCTCTATAATAAAAATCTATTTCCCCAATCCTGATTATTTTCTCCTGTTTTTATTTTTATTGCAATTTTAACAAATGTTTTTCTGTTGAAGATCCTGAAATGCTTACAAAGAGCATAAGTGAGAAAAAAACACAGCAAATGATTCCCAACAACATCACAGAGTGATACCATGTAGACTCTTTCAACAGCACAGCCCTAGATGACTTCTAAAGAACAAGACTACTGAGATCTGGTCAATTACCCATTTAGCCATTTTAGCTGACAAGCCTGCAAACCATCTCTTTCCTCTTGAAACTCTGAGATCAAAACTGTTTATTAACAGGTTCTATAAAGCTGGACATTGAACTGTACTTTAAAAAGCTTTACATATCAACTTGTATTTAGGGATGACAACTCTTTTCAAGTCAAGGAAAGCATGACATTAGTTTCTCTCAGTGCACAAGATAAAAACCACCAGTGCTTTCACCACTCACCTTCCCTTGGGCACTTGCAGAAGGAGCAGGAAGATCGGTGCCCGCCAGTGCTGGCTTTACACTGCAAAGGAAAGAGGAAAGCATCTGGCTGATGTTACAGTTTGGACGGTAATTTTCCCCTCGGAGGTTTGGAATTTGGTCCCTAATGTAATGGTGCTGGGCAGTGGTGAGGCCTAGTGGGCGGTAAACAGATCGTGGAGTCATCAGCCTCAGGAGTGGATTAGTGCTGTCTCGAGAGAGATGGAGTGGGCTCTAGCTCTCACGAGAAGTGGTTAGCTCTCACAAGCTGGGTTGTTGTAAGAGTCAATAAAACTATAAATCACCTGGTCTCAGGCATTTCTGTTAGCAGTGCAATAGTGAAGATAACCAAAAACATTTTTAAAAACCTCATGTATATCCAACAGAGTAACACCTGCCAAAAATACAAGAAAGAGGCCATATCCCAGATGCCCTCCCAGCCTATAGAATGTAACGTCCCCTCCATCAGAGCGGCAGACAATATCTGACGAGCTACTGTTTGAGAACTCCCGTTGAACAAGACATCCGGAGCAGCCTGAAAATGTCTTCTCCCTGGACAAGGGTTCCTTTTACTTTTTGTAATTTTGTCAGCGGGTGCATGTGTTCATCAGAGGAAGAGTAAGAAAGCACTGCCTGTGGGGCATGAGTGGCCTGCAATCCATTCTCCCCCATCTCTCCCTCTCGTCGGGACTCTAGGCACACAGGCACATGCACCCGGTGTTTCTCGAGCCTCTGGGGCTGGCATTCAAACAATGAGATTGGCCATGGGGTCCAGCCAGCCCTTAATCTGCATGCCACCAGCTGGCCTTCCCTGGACAGAGATATTCATAGTAAATAAGCTTAACTACGGAAAGTGGACTGCTAACTAACTAACCAACCAACTAACAAGAAGAACCTGCGAACGAGGTTGAGCACATTGGTGTCTCCTGAGTGGCACAGCATCACGGCACCATAAAACCCACCCTAAATGCATTTTTTATTTAAAATATTTTTAGTTTATGAGAAATTTATTTGAACATAACCCCATTCCTTTTTTCTAGCTTTGCTGTGGGACACTTTATTCATTAAAATAAATTTATTTATTACTTATTAAAATAAAGTCAGATAAAATAATTTAAAATAAAGAGATAATCATGTACCTGAAAAGGAATTTATATCCAGTATGACAGACTCTTACAGTTCAATAATAAAAAGATGCATAACCACTGAAAGAGCAAAAGATTTGACTAGACATTTATCCAAAGAAGCAATACAAATGGTGGGACCAGTAGTTAGCATAATGGCTATGTCTTTGAACTCCCATGTAGTCGACCGCGGTTCGAGTCCCGGAACCAGTGGCTTAAATTCACGCCAGGCGCATGTGTGTGCGTGCATGCCCAAGATCCTGAGAGGAGAATGGAGGAGAGGGGATTGTGGCATGGCATCCCCCTGGGGGGTGATTTCTAGCTTTCTCTCTGTCTCTGTCTTTCTGGCGAGTGCATGTGCCCTATAGCAAAAAACCTCTCCAAAAAAAAGATATACGAATGGCCAGCAAATACATAAAAAGCTGCTCAAAGTCACCAGGGAAATGCAAATCAAGACCATGATTAGATTTTATTTCATATTCACTAGGACTGCCTACAATAATAAAAAAAAAAAGTTGGCAAGAGTGTGGAGAAAGTCGAACCCTCACACACTGGGATGGGAACGGAAATGCTGTAGCTGCAGTCTATGAAAAACTGTGGTGCATCCTCAAAGAGCCACATGGAAAAGTAGCAGGGGACTAGCACGGTGGTGCAGGTGGCAGAGTGCAGCTGCATGATTCTGGAGTCACATGGGAGGCCTGGTTCAGATTCTGGGTCAACCTGGACATGCCATTCATGCCAGTGTTCGTGTACATGTGAAGACAGAGATGAGTACCCTCCAGAAGGGCTGGTCATGCTGCGATTCACCTTCTACCCGCCCGCCCACTGGGCCCTGGCACTCACTCACATGCGTGTCTGACATTTCTAGCTGACCAGGCCAGTTATTTTAACCTTGGTTGCCATGTGAAATTCAACCCACTCCTGCACTTTTTTTAAATAGGTGGTGTTTTTTGGGGGAGGGGTGGTGAGTGAGTTGGGGGGACAACACACCAGCACGTGACCACTATGCTACAGAGCTAGCCCTCCAACCTCTCTTGAGTGTGTTACCACTACACCATGGAGCTGGCCCCCTGTTTTTTTCATTATTCATGATAGTGCACATATGCATGTACATGACAGAGAGAGTGAGAAAGAGAGATTAGCACCTTCCACGGGGTTTGGTCTAGCACAGTTCGTCTCCTCCAGTTCTCCAGCGCAGTGCCCGGTGTGTTCCAGGCTGACCAGGCCCAGGATCTGTACCCGGTTGCCATGTGAGGTCCGTGTTCTGAGTGGCACAGTACCACTGCACCATAAAGCCCAGCCCTAAATGCACTTTTTATTTAGAACAGTTTCGGTTTATGAAAAATTTATTGGAACATAACCCCATTCTTTTTTTAGTTTTGTTGTGGGGTACGTATGCTCACTATAGAGAGAGAGAGAGAGAGAGGGAGAGAGAGGGAGAGAGAGGGAGAGAGGGAGAGATGGGAGGGTGAGAAATCACTAGAGGGGGGGTAGGGGATGGCCATGCCACAATCCCTTCTCCTTCAGTCTCCTCTTGGGACTTGGGATACACACGCACACGTGCCTGGCATGTGCTTCAAGCTACCAGGTCTGGGACTCAAATCACGTAGTTAGCCACATGAGATTCAACCACCATGCCACCAGCTGGTCCCATAACCCCATCATGAATCGAGGACCACTTGTACTTTTAAAGAATCATGGTTTAGAAATTTTAGAAATTTTTCAATCTTTTTGAAGCTAACTAGTAGCCATAAAAACGAAAATTAGATTTTTATGCTCATTCCAATCAAAATGGACCTCTGAGGGTATAGCCTAAAAAATTTAAACATGCTATTTTAAAAGAATATGAAGTTTGGGAACCAGCAGTTAGCGTAATGGCTATGTCGCTGGACTCCCACGTAGTCAACCGTGGTTCGCATCCCGGACCCAGTGGCTTAAAGCTCACGCCGGGCGCGTCTGCGTGCGTGCCCAACATCCCAAGAGGAGAATGGAGGAGAAAGGTTGCGGCATGACCATCCCTCCTGGGGGGGTCATTTCTCGCTTTCTGCCTCTAATGTCTCTCTCTGTCTGATGAGCACACGCGCCCTATAGCAAAAATCTCTCAAAAAAGAAAAAAAGAATATGAAGTTTAACAGAGGTAAAATCCCACAATGCCTGAAGTTTTACCCTTACAAATTCCAGAATATTTTAATAAAGTGCTACAACTCCCACAGAAACAGCTTCTTCAAAGCTTTTTTTTCTTTTCCTCCAAAGTATCAATTCCCTTGTGACCACCCCCAGGAAGGATAACTGAGAACAGGTTGTACGTCAAAGGACTATTGATAGATTTTTTTCATAAGCAACAGAAAACATATTTGCCCTTGGGAAAGAACCCTCTAGCTACCTGCAACAGCTGGGAAGCAGGAATTACCTTCAGTTCACTGGAGCTCAGCCAGAGACGAGCTCTGCTCTTGGCAATACATACTACCAGGCAGCATCCCTGGCCCTGTGGAGGAGCGGGAACACTGGACACAAACCTCCAGAGAGAGGGACTCTCGACACTTACCCGTTTGCAGTACCAACAATCCGGGCTTGGTACATACTCAAGGGAGACCTCTTTGTCATGGATCATGAGAGTTCCCTGTAAAGACAAAGACAGACGCCATCAACATCAACCTCAGAGAGACAGACAGACAGAAAGGCACAGAGAGCCTTTCCAGTCTCCAAGCTGAAACATTTTACCGAGCGAACATATGCACTGGTGAGAGGAAATGGCTGTTATAAGCCACAGGCTTGGGGTGATGTGGCAGAGCAAGCTAAAACTCAGGTAATGGGAGTGGAAAAAGGTGGACTCGGTCTTGGACCTCAGCTTCCAGGGGTTGAGGCACTACCCTCGGGCAGGCGAGGCCCACCTACTCCTCCAGAGGTCTCACGTAGCACACTCAAGACCCAGCAAGTCCCCACCTGGCCCAGGAGCTAGCACTCCCTCAAGAAGCAGACTCTTCCCTCTACAGCCAAGAGGGACAGAGCCCTCTCGTTTACCTGCTGTTCCATGGCTACTCCACATCTCCTGGAGCGGTAATAAGGGCTCTAACTTTGGTGCCTGACAATTTTCTTTGGAACGCTGGCTACTGGACAAAAGCACCAGGGGAAGAGGTACAACACCGAAGACAGGAAACAAGGAGGAAGGTGAAGCTTCATGGCAGGTGACATCCTTAAAGCAGGAAACTGAATGGCTGGTGGCAGCAGAGGTGGCGGTGCCGACAGCAGCAGCACCACTCTGGCTTAGAGCCTACAGAGCGAGCCGGCCCTGAGCAGCAACCAGCGGCACGGATGTCTTTGGGGAAGGTCTGGCACAGGAACAAGCGGGAAACGGGGCTCGAAAGGCCCCAGTTACAGAGCTCGCTTGCCACTCCATTTTGGGCCAGTCATGAGTTCTATTTCACATCAAGAAAACGGAAATCTTGCTTAGTAAACACTAGCCAGCAGATATGTGTTGGAGCAGAGGGAAGAAAATCTCTGCCTACTGACAAGCGACCCTCGCCCACACTCACAAGTGAACTAACCGAGGATGCGACCGGAACTAGCCCCTGTGCTGTGTTCATTCTCCGCCCTCTAGGGTCCTCTGTGTCTCCTCAGACAGGGCTCTGAGTATATAAGTCATTTCTTTGCAATTGGACCTCAGTTTCTTGCTTGAATCCATACATCTGTCAAATAATGCTTTACCTCTCTGCTTTTCACACCAAGAGAGTCAAGAGAAATACATAGAATAAAATTATTGTCTTGTCAAAACCAAAAGAAAACTGCCTACCTACTTAGGTTTTAGGTTCTGGTCTCTGGCTTGTTTCTTGGCGTATTCTTAAGACCAACAGACGACAATAATAATCGCCAGCATTTACTAAGTGCTTACCAGCCGGATACCGCTACGCACACAATCTCATTTATCCTCTAACTGATCCCAGGAAGCAACGCACTCTCCACTTTTCAGATGAGGAAACGTGCTCAGAGAGGCAGGGTCACCCAGTCACCCAGGGCAGCTCCTCCTGCCTCACTTACCAACTCCTGCTCAGTGTCAGGGACAGGCAATTCGGACTCAGGAATAACCAGGAAAGAGACGAGCTCTGCAGACATGGAGGATCTGGGGAGGGCCACGCTGTCAAGCTATACCCATGCAGAAGGCTCGTCCAAGTCGTGCCCTTTCAAACCCAGAGACAGAACATCACGTCACTGGAGAGCATGGACGATGGTCCAGGTGCCCTAAATCTGAACCTCGTCGCGACTCCATGACCTTCAGCAAGGCCCTCTTCTTTTTGCTCCAGTTTCCTCATCTGTGAAGTGGAGATAATGGCACCTACTTCACGGGGTGGCTGCGGATACTAAATAAACTAATACATGTAAAGTGCTCAGCACAGAACACAGTGGGGGCCCAACATGCCCTAAGCACTAAAAAAGAACGAGCACCGGCACGCCAGACCGGATGGGATCGAAGAACCACGCGGTCTGCCTGTGTGCACGCCAGGTAGGAATGTTTCGCAACCCACTTCCGTCTCTGGAGGAACAGTTTTCACAGAGGGTCGTCATTACGCATCGGCACTGTATCTTTATGATAGCACTTTGTGCTATTAATGGCTGTTGAACTGCTGGTCCAGACCTTAGAGTTGAGGCTAAATCTTGCTGGTCTTTCATTAGGAGCATCGAACACAGTAGCTGGTACAGAAAAGGAGTTTGAAAAGCGCTTGCTGGACAGAGCCAACCGTCCCTGGAGAACTGGGGCACGCAGCACGCAGTGGCTTGGAGGGCGGTTCTGCTGTCACAGCACACCTGCACACCCACCCATAAAGCACGCGGGTGCCATGTGAACAGTGACAGGAGCTACAAGAACAAGGCACTACTGTGAACCTCATTCACTTGTGAATTCCGATTTCACCACTGGGAGGCATCAGTAGATTTCGGAATATCCAAGGCAAGGAGCACTTTGCATGTGTTGGACAGCAAATCTACGATTGCAGCAGCTGGAGGAAACCACCCCTGCCAGGGGACCCTGTCCACACGTCCACACGTGCGCTTAAACCACACGTTACCCAGAACAATGATTTCTTATTCTCAGAGATGCCAAAATTCAGGGTATTTCCTTTCAACCTGCAAAAGGCTAAACAGTAAGGCTGCCAGTGGCCACTGCTAAACAATATGAAAGTTTTAACAATACTCTTGAAAAATAGCCGTTGTTACAGTAAGAACACACAGTCACAGGAAAGACCCGAGTGAGAACAGTCAGGTTTACCTATGACTCCTGACTGGCTCCCACACACAGGTAGCCAATACACACCAAGCACAGGCGTGACAGCCATGTGCTGCACCCTCCGTGCCCTGCCAGGCCCCCTCCAGCTTTGACAGAGCAGAGACCCACCAGTGTCTCCTAGAGAAGTAGCCTCGGAGGAGCTGATGAATGAAGGGGTAGGACGAAGCATCACTGCTAGAGCTATCCCCCATTCACCATCAGTTCCCTGCAATGTCTGCACGCTAGAACCTGTGTTCATCATCTGACTTAGTGGGCTATTAAGCTATCCAGGCAAGGCTATCATTAAGGCTGTTGAGTCTGATTAACCACATCTGACTCCTAACGAGGCACCATACATTTGAAAATAAAACCAAACACACCTTTCTCAGCAGTGTTAAGTTAGGCCTAGGTTAGACTGAACTCTGCTAAAACCCTGCGGGCCCACAGCCCTCCTTGGCTGACACGCACAGGTGTTCCTACGTACCTTTCTTTCTTTCTTTTTTTCCTTTTTTTTTGGGAGAGATTTTCGCTATAGGGCGCGTGAACTCGCCAGAAAGACAGAGAGAGACAGAGAGACAGAAAGCGAGAAATCACCCCCCAGGGGGGATGGTCACGTCGCAATCCCTTCTCCATTCTCCTCTCGGGATCTTGGGCACGCACGCACACGCCCGGAGTGAATTTTAAGCCAGCGACATAGCCATTACGCTAACTGCTAGTTCCCCCTACGTACCTTTCCAGGCGTCCTAATGTGAAGCTGCAAGAAGCCATACACATTTGCACTCCAGAATGGTAAAGCAAGTCCTGACTCTCTCCTTGGGGACAACAGAGGGCAAAGCCCGAGTCTGAGAGCTGCTGAGTTCAACATCTATAGGCCCATTTCCTGTCCCATCAGCTGCTCACGGACGCCTTCCGACTCTGGTTTGTGAGTGCCAGCTTACGAGAGGATTGGGTTAGACAGCAGACTACCATGTGTTACAGCGGGCTTGCACCCCATCCTGGAAGATTTCCAAGGCACTTGGAGGTGAAAGAGAAACTAGAGGGCCAGGAGGTGGGGTGATGGCTAAAGTGGCTGGGTCCCACATGGCTAGCTGTGTGGTTCAAGTCCTGGACCCAGTGGCTTGAAACATGCCAAGTGCATATGCGTGTGCCCTGAGAGGAAAATGGAGAAGGGATTGCAGTGTGGCCATCCCACCTGAGGAGTGATCTCTCTTTCTCTTCTCTCTGGTGAGCACACCTGCCCTATAGCAAAGGCTTTAAAAGAAAAAAGAATAGAGAAAGAAACTAGAAAGGAAAGGACATTTCTGGACAGCAGCCTTGTGTCCCTGTTGGAGATCTCTAACCCAAGCTCAGCCGGTTAGACTCGACATAAGAACACAACTGCTCTGTGCTGTACAGACTTCCCCATGGAGAGACGGAGGCAGTCGGGACAGAAAGGCAGGAAAGGGGTCTGAGTCCTGTGAGCTCACAGTGAAGTCAGCACTCGCTCTCTGTCGACGTGTGCTTCTTCCCAACGGTGGATGTGAGAATCAGGTTACTGAAAGCTGAGGCCTAATATTGTTTATCAGATAGTAATCTTTACTCACAAAATGAGTGAGCATTTACAAAGGCATTCTTCATAATTGTCTTATCACCAGATTCTCGCAAGTAGGGCACTTGTCAAACCTACTTACGCACAGGAAAACACCACTGGAATACATGGAGTAGCTTGCTTAAGATGACAGGGCTAGTTAGCATCACATGTGGTACCAAAACCCGGTGTTCTTTTCACCGTACTGCCTTTCTTCGCTTTTATACTTCCAGAGAGTAGTCAGAGTGGTCAGTTCATCATACGTGCCACACCAGAGATGGCTAGTGATGATGTAAAGGATAAAGACAGGCCCAGGCAACGGACCACAGGAAGTGCCGAGAGACTGCCGCAAAGCCCTTGCTTCCTACAGCATGCCGATCCTGCACACCGGCCTGCTCGAGGTCAGATTTCTGCCCTTTTTTTATAACATGTGTATTTTTTATGCCAGAGGGCACATGCACGCACATGAGAGAAGTCGAGAGAGAATCCTGCAGTGGGGTGGTCGTTCTGCAATTCTGTCTTTCTGTTCTTAAAGCACCTACGACTACCTCAGGTGCTGTGCCCAAGACAAAGACAAAGGGCTGCCAGGAAGTGGTTAATATAGGAATTTCAAGAACCTTGGTAGGTAAGAAAGAGTAAAGAAAAGAACAAAAATAATAGGTCTAAAACAGAGGAATGTAATTTCTCTTAGTATAAAACAGTACTTCACGGGGCCAGCAGGTGACGTGGTGCTTAAGAGTGCTGGACTCGGGAACCAGCAGTTAGTGGAATGGCTATGTCGCTGGACTCCCACGTA